AAAAATAATCAGCACAAATATTCCCCATTTTACTCTTTTGTACCCTGGTTTCTAGAACTGCCATGATGTCCACATTTTGAGACCGCAGAAACTTACTAATAAACGCATGTTTTGAGGTTTTTTTAAAACCTCTCATGTTCCATGAAGCTACTAACATCCTTTTTTAGACGACCTTCCCACACACCTTGCCTTCTTACCCCTTTCACTGGTAATGTAGTCAAATCCTACAGGGAATGGATCAAAACCCCCTATTAACCATATCAATGTTTCCACCACCCCCTGAGTAGGAGACGATTACTGCCATTTTTTTTAGAAGACCTTCCCACACACCTTGCCTTCTTACCCCTTCCACTGGTAATGTAGTCAAATCCTACAGGGAATGGATCAAAACCCCCATTAACCAGATCAATGTTTCCACCACCCCTGAGTAGGAGACTATTACTGCATTTCCTTTGGAGAGTTTAGCAGCCACAACAGGTCTGACACTCCTCCTCCCCTGAATTACTTCTTGAAATTCTTCCTCTGATGGCAACTGATCTGCAACCTGCCCTTGCACTGTATTCTTATCAACCACCTGCTCCTGTAATTTTTCCACCAGACATCCTTCAGTACCTACCACTTCCTCTACAATATCCCTCATTGACACTCCAAGCCTCATACTCTCCTCCTCATTATGTTGTTGAAGAACACCCTGTATCTCAGTCTCCTTGTGTTGCACATTCTATGCCTCTTTATGAGCAGTAGCTTGAGGAACTTCCTGCTGTTTTGCCTTTGGAATCCACATTTTCGTTACCGCCATCTCCTCCTTACTACAATCATGACCAAACCGACTACATTTCTGACAGACAGGGGTAGATTGAAGTACGCAACATAAGGTGCGAAAGGGGAACCTTCATCCAGGACAAATCGTAAAACCTCGGGACACTTTGACTCCACAGTAATCTCAACATAGTATTTCGCAAACCCTAGTTGTAATCTGGGAACAGAACGACCTGCCAATCATACTAACCACCTTGCTGAAGCATTCTGGAAGTAGACATTCCATTGGTAGACCCGAGATCTTCACCCAAACCGGAAGGCCAGGCTTCTCAGGAGCTACTGGCAGAATCCCATTTTCCCATTTTCTCAAGAACAGATTATTCCCCCAAAGATGTCATGGACCACTACGAAATACACAGAAACAAGTCGATGCATTCGAAAATTGAAACACCAAGAGCTTATCTCCAAACCAGGAAACCCTAATTTTCCCATCTCTACCCCATAGCTTGTTCGCCTAATTTCTAATGACTACGAGAGATGGTGGAGCAGAGATAAACTGACCTACCAAACAGTTTTGCCAGCGAGCAGCGCCCTTATCCAACAAGGCCTTCGGAAGACGAAGAGCACCATCAACAAGATCTGGTTCTTCGTAGTGAAGTCTGCAGCTCTCGTCGATCGTGAAAAGATCTGCCCACGATTTCCCTGCTTCAGCAGATGCAACCATGGAGAAAGAGAGAGTTTCAAGCAATCAAAGAAAGAAAAGAGAAATCCGACTACGAGTAGTGTCGCCAGATGATATCGCCGCCGGCAGGAGGCCGAAACGACGAGGGAATCTCCAGCGATTAGAGCCGGGAACCACCGACGGCAGAAGGCCGATCCAGCGGGAAAACTTGTTTCGCTCTTTTTCTCTCTCTCTCTCTAACTCTCTCTCTAGCAGCTCCTATGTTTACGAATTCGCACATACATTTTTAACAATGGAGGCCACGCGATCTCAATGGTTGTCATGCTAGTGGCATTAGGGCTGTCAGTTCGGTTGCCGGTTAGCGGCTAACCGGCTGGTCTAACCGTTAACCGCCGGTTAGCGGCTAACTGGAAACCGAAAAAAATGGGTGGCGGTCGGTTGTCGGAGGCGTTCAGTGGTTAGGCGGTTAGCCGAAAAATCGAGGCCGGTTAACCGGCTAACCGACGCTAACCGACCGATGCTAAACGACCCCGTTTTGGCCTAAATAAAACTACCCAACCCCATCCTAAACCCTAGCAGCCCTTCGGTTCGTTCCTCCATCCTCCCTCTTCTCGTTTCGCACAGCCGCCCCACTCCACTCCCACACAGGCCATAGGCCACAGCACAGCTCTGCACCTAGTGGCCCACCCTGCGTGAGTCCCTCACCACGAACCAGGACGACACCCCGCACCTCACGCTCACCGTCGTCGTCCCCGCCGCGGCCGTCGCCGTCATGAAGGAGATCGGCCAGCGGATGGAGAAATTTGCCCGCCTCATGGGGGTGCCCTTCGAGTTCCGCGCCGTCGCCGGACGGCTGGCCGACCTCACGGGAGACAAGGTCGCTCTCGCGGTCAACGACGACGCCACGCACGCAGGTGAGCGCCTCCTCTCCCGCGCCTTCATCGCCTCCGTCGTCCTCCGCAGGCGAGCGCCTCCGTCGTCCTCAGCAGGCGAGCGCTTCCTCTCCCGCGCCTTCGTCGTTGGCGACTGCTGCTGCTTCTTCCTATTTGAAATTGAGAGATGGAAGGAGAGAGAAGGCAGATCTAAAATGGAGAAAGGTAAGGAGAGAGAAGCAGTTGTTGTGACTGTGAGGAAGATGGGGGATGATTTTCTTTCGTGGGGTTTTTTTTATTATTAATTAAAGGCAATCATTTTGAAAAGAAGGGGTAGGTTTTTTTTAGGTGGCTAACTGAGCATAAAACCGAAACCGATTGGTCGGTTGGCCGTAGTCATAGGGAGAGTCTCGGTTTAACCGATAACCGGGATTTTGGTTTTCGATTAAACCGAAACCGACCGAATGACACCCTTAAGTGGCATGCCACCCGGTTGAACCTGGTTCAACCTGTGCCGGTCATGAAACCGGCATGACACCACCGGTATGATCGACTTATGCATTTTAAATAGGGTTAATACCTTGTTATGGCCTGAACTATGACCATGTAATCAACTTTGGCCAGTGGTTTGAGAAATTAACATCCTGGCCCGATCTATGTAGCATATAGACAAAATTGGCCTGGAGCGTGGTTTGACTGTTTGTTTGGACGGTCAACACCGTTGACTGTTAGTCAACTGTCCAGGTCACTGCCATGTCAACATAAAAAAATTACAATTACAATTTTCTTTTTATTTCATTTACAAAATTGAATAATTAAAAAAAAAACAAAAAATTCTGGCCCACCCATCCGCACCTTATCCCCTCACCTTCTTTCCTTTTCGATCAATCCCTATTCCATCTTCTTCCTCCTTCTTCCCCGACGTCGCACTCTTTCATCATAACCCAAACACGAGCACCCATCCCCCTCGCCTTCTTTCGTTATCGATCTGCTCCCCAAAAAAACCCTAACGACCCATCTTCTTCCTCCTTCTTCCCCGACGAGGTGGGCCAGAAGTTTGACCCTTGTGATTCTCTGCCTGCAATCGAGATTTGATATCCTAGTTCTACACAAGGACTGGTGTACAGAACCTGCAAAACAACGCCAAAAGGAAAAGCTACCAGAAAAAGAAAAGAAGAAAACAGAGCGACTACAGGCAATGTCAGAAGGCCATCTTTTCTTCCCAATCCCCTGTTATCCCTCTTACTGAGCACCATCTTCTTCTATTCCAAGTTTCACATAACAACAACAACAGCAAAAGAAAATGGCCGGCAACCGCAGCAACTTCGCCGGAGCTGAGATCCACCAGCCGTTCGAGCACTTCTTCAAGGAGATATCACCAGAAACAGTCCAAATCAAGAAAATGGTAAGCATTGTGCTCTGTTTTGCTTAAATTTTTTTTTTCAGGAAATCCCCCCCACCCGACCTTGTGCTCTGTTTTTCTGTTTGTTTCTGTTTTCCATCGACGTAACAGATGCTTCCGGAGAAGTTTGGGCTCACTTTCAGGGGCAAGCTTCCTACTCAGGCGAAGCTGAAAGTACCAAACGGCAGGGTTGGACTGTTGGGTTGACGAGAGAAAGGAGGAGCCCAAACAGAGTGTGGCTGGACTCGGGGTTCGGAGATTTCCTCGATTACCACTCCATCATGGCACAATACTTGCTCATGTTCAAGTACGATGGCTGCTCCAGCTTCAATGTAGTCATTTGCGATACCACAGCCTGCGAGGTTGTCTTTCCGAACGCGTACCCTCAGGCTTCTTCTGATCAAGAAGACAGCGACATGGACGACGATTCTGAGTTTAACGCCGACGAGCCCAGCGAGGAGGAAGAAGAAGAAGAAGAAATCAGCGATTCCAATTCTGACAGTGAAGAGGGGTTCGTTCTCGGCGCCAATGACAAAGGGAAACAAGCGGAGGATAGAAATCGCCGCGGTGGGTCTGCCTCTGGGTCTCGCCGGAGGGTGGGTGGGCCAGATTTTTTTTTTAATTATTCAATTTTGTAAATGAAATAAAAAGAAAAATGAAATTGTAATTTTTTTATGTTGACATGGCAGTGACCTGGACAGTTGACTAACGGTCAACGGTGTTGACCGTCCAAACAAACGGTCAAACCACGCTACAGGCCAATTTTGTCTATATGCTGCATAGATCGGGCCAGGATGTTAATTTCTCAAACCACTGGCCAAAGTTGATTACATGGTCATAGTTCAAGCCATAACAAGGTATTAACCCTTTTAAATAAAATGACATCATTTAATTTAATGAATAAAAAAATTAATTTATTATTCATTTTATGAATGTAATAGTTAAAAGTTGATGATATTTGTTGGATTGTAACTAAATTGTCCACAAATATGTTTTATATATGATTAAATACATTGGATATCAATTGTTTTCACATTTTTTTAAACCGGCATGAACTGACATAAACGGGTTATACCACCGGTTACCATTCCACTTGCCAAACCGGCACAACGGTATAAACTGATTTGACAACCTGCCAACCCTTTTTGGTCTCCGAAACTGCGATTTTTCCCGCCTCCTAACTCCACAAATTTTGTTTGTCAAAAAAAAAAAAATAAATAACTCCACAATTTCCATTCTCCATTTTGATTCCATTTTATTGCTTCGGTTTTGCCACTCGGATTCATCGGAATCAATCGAGGAACAATACTTACTTGCGACCCCAGCTCGTAAAGTTGCAGACTTCTTCTTCTTTCTATGAATTTGACCAAACTCGGCCATCATCTCTCCGCATCAATCAGAAGAGCATCGACGGGAAAGCCAACCGTAACTCTCGCAACCTTAGAGACCCTTCTGCAGCAATGCCGAAACTCGAGTCACTTCGATCAAATCCTTTCCCAAATGGTCATCACTGGCTTCCTGGGCGACACTTTCGCTGCTAGCAGGCTGCTGAAATTCTCCACTGACTCGCTCTTCGTTCCCATCGCCCACTCCCACCGCATCTTCACTCACGTTCGGGGCCCCAACGGGTTCATCTGTAACACCATGATGAGGGCTCATGTACGGAGAAATCGTCCGGAGCAGGCTCTGCTTGTTTACACATTGATGCGGGACGGTGATGTCGCGGCCGATACTTACACGTATCCGATTCTCCTGCAGTCTTGTTCACAGAGGCTAGCGGAGGTTGAAGGGAGATTGATTCATGGCCAAGTGATTAAGGTGGGTTTTGATTCTGATGTTTATGTGGGGAATACGTTGATTAATATGTATGCGGTTTGTGGGTGTTTGGGTGATGCACGCAAAGTGTTCGATGAAAGTTGTGCCTTGGACTCGGTATCCTGGAATTCGATGTTGGCAGGGTATGTATCGGCAGATAACGTGGATGAGGCGAAGTGGTTGTATGAAAGGATGCCTGAGAGGAACGTAATCGCTTCGAATTCTATGATTGTGTTGCTTGGGAGGAGTGGGCATTTGGAAGAGGCTGCTAAGGTGTTCGATGAAATGCCTGAGAGAGACTTGGTATCGTGGAGTGCGTTGGTATCTTGTTATGAGCAGAATGAGAGGTACGATGAGGCGTTGAGGAAGTTTAAGGAAATGGTTGTTGATGGAGTACTGGTGGACGAGGTTGTGCTGATCACTGTTCTTTCTGCTTGTACTCATTTAGTGGTAGCTATGACAGGGCAGTTGATCCATGCTTTGGCTATCAAAGCTGGGATTGAGTTATACATTAACCTTCAAAATGCCTTGATTCATATGTACTCCATTTGTGGAGAATTAGTTGCTGCTGAAAAGTTGTTCAGCTCTGGCTGCACCTTGGACCTTATATCGTGGAACTCTATGATCTCCGGGTACTTGAGATGCGGGGAAGTGGAGAAGGCTAGGAGCTTATTTGATTCGATGCCGCAGAGGGACACTGTGTCATGGAGTGTGCTGATATCAGGCTATGCCCAACGCGATCGGTTTGCTGATGCATTGGCATTGTTCCAGGATATGCAGCTTGAAGGGATTCAGCCTGATGAAACCGTTCTGGTGAGTGTTATCTCAGCTTGCACACACTTGTCTGCCCTCGACCAAGGTGCATGGATTCATGCATATATTAGGAAGAAGCAAATGAAAGTTAATGTCATACTAGGGACAACCCTTATTGACATGTACATGAAATTCGGTTCAGTACCAAATGCCATGGAAGTTTTCAGAGCCATGGAAGAAAAGGGGGTATCAACTTGGAATGCTCTTATTCTGGGTTTGGCGATGAATGGGTTCGTGAAGGAGTCCCTCGCCACTTTTTCGGAGATGAAGGAGTGTAATATTGTGCCAAATGAAATAACGTTTCTAGCTGTGCTTGGTGCTTGCAGACACATGGGCTTGGTAGAGGAAGGGCGTCGCCATTTCGACGCCATGTCCCGAAAGCACGGAATAGAACCGACTATCAAACACTATGGATGCATGGTTGATCTTCTTGGACGTGCAGGTAAGCTAACAGAAGCTGAAGAACTTATTGCCAACATGCCTGTGCCTCCTGATGTTTCAACTTGGGGTGCTTTACTCGGGGCTTGTAAAAAACACGGGGACAATGTGATGGGAGAAAGAGTGGGAAGAAAATTAGTAGATCTTCAACCGGAGCATGATGGCTTTCATGTTTTATTGTCCAACATATATGCTTCAAAGGGCAGCTGGGATAATGTGCATGAGATTCGAGGGATGATGAGGCAACACGGTGTGATTAAGACACCGGGTTGTAGCATGATTGAGGTGAAGGGAACAATTCACGAATTTCTCGCAGGTGATAAGACACACCCTCAGAGCGAAGATATCGAGAAAATGCTGGATGATATGGCTAAGAAACTAAAGATGGAAGGTTATGCACCAGATACACGTGAAGTTTTGCTTGACATTGACGAAGAAGATAAAGAAACCACATTGTTTAGACACAGCGAGAAGATTGCAATCGCCTTTGGGCTTCTCACCATTGACGCACCTACACCAATAAGAATCATGAAGAATTTGCGGATATGCAATGATTGTCACATGGCAGCTAAGTTAATCTCTAGAGCTTATGATCGCGAAATCGTGGTGAGGGATCGACATCGGTTCCATCACTTCAAGCAGGGCTCATGCTCATGCCTGGATTATTGGTGACGGAAAGCTTCAGCCTTCGTATATAATCATCTTTTTCTCGAATCTGTCATTTATGCTCATTGTGCATTTGTGCACTTGTACATGAATCATGATGTTTACGCTGCTCGCTTGAATACGTGATGGTGCCAGAGGATCTTCTGTGTAGCCATATCTCCTGAATCCAATTTGGCATGTAAATCCTACTACGAGATTCGTATGTTGGACTAGAGCACCTATAAATACAGAGGCTTACATAACTTTTTGTACAAGTACTGCAACATGAGACTGGAAACGAGCTCCTTGAGTGAAACTTCATTTTTGTCTGCTCAACTAGCGAAGCTTGATAGTTGATACCGATTCGTTGCGAATGAATATGTTCGAACTTAGGAATGGTCTTTGCTCATGATTCTGGATACTTCCTCTGTTTGGAGAGAGAATCAGAGATACCTCAATGAAGAACAAAGATCAGACAAATATCTAAGTCGCCTCCTTTTCGAAACACAGTAATGAATTTGCTTTCTCAGCTCCATTTCAAACTCCATCTCCAATGGAATGTATTAAGCAGTCCACTTCATCTGCATCATCTATTTCTTTCATGTGCTGAAATAGTAAACCTAGAGTTTGATATGCAGGCTCCATATGAGTCCCAACTGTATCACCCACAACAAAACTGTATACTTGATTCCTTACTCCAATCCAATTCTTCCCCAACACTTTCTTGCTCACGATTCCTCCATCAAATTTGATTTCCTCATCCTTGCAGACTTCCTCCATTTGCCTTCAGCTGCATAAATGTTTGATAACATCATATAAGTACTGGCCACATTTGGTTGTAAATTCAGCACCCTTAAGTTCCATTCTTTTTGGGTTTCGGGTATCTGGGTTTCAAACACAAGTGAATTGCAAGAAGAAGCAATGAAATGGTTACTAGTCTGTGCAGCGAGCCAGCGATCCAGTCTACAGCATATTGGATTGAACAGTTTCGGTTCTAAAATTTCTAGACTTACTGGTTTCAATTTCGTAATTTCTCTTCAAAAAGTACAGCAAATAGCATGCCGAATGAAATCATTTTCAATATGATTTTACTCTCTGTTTGGTTCAACTTTGGACTGAATTGGACCATGCAAATCTCTGGATGGAACAAACAATTTTGGGCTGTTCATTCAGATTGCCACATATTCGAGATCTACAATTGTGCAAGAAAGTTCAACATAATAAAAAAGCACAATCGATAGAGATGCACTGAGTTCAAGTCCACACAACTGAAGCATTTGCCAGAAAAGCTAGTAGTGTGCTAAGAGCATAAAAATTTAAAATTCGGACCTTTGAAGGAACAACCTATTTGCCGTTAAACCATTCCTGATGATGTGGCCTCAAATCAGCCTGATTGAGAACATTATCTTCTCATCAGTATCTTTGAAGTAAACCATATACTTGCAGTTGATCAAAACCTCTGCAATCACTCGAATCCCCCAGCCCTCGTTATAGTAAGCATCCACTTCACCCATCACCTTGAATCCATCCACAATAATGGTCTCCGGTAGACAAGGCCTTATGTGGCAAGCACAAATATCTTCCCTGAGAAACTCGGTATCATCATCATTTGTCAGGGTTTTGTATTCAATAAGGTGCTTGTCTTCAACCGAAGCTTCAATAATTGTTGCAGCAAACCAAGCGCCTTCAAAACCCTCGTCGTCAGTGGTCACCTCGACTTGCATGCCTTCAGTGAACTTCATCATTTCCTCGGGCCGACTTGAGTCTGCCTTCTGCTCAGACAACTTCTTCCCTTTTCCAACTTTTGTGGAGTTTTTCTCTGGTGGCTTTGCATGGCTAACAGAAGAACTCTCACGTTTCGCTACTTAGCTTGGCCTAGTTTCAGTTTTCTCTTGTGACCTCAGCATGTTTATGAAGAGATTCAAAGACGTTGAGACAGTGTGAACAAGAACAAATGCTACCTCGGATCAGTCAGTTCTCTACTTTCCTCAGCCTAAGAAGCTGATTATATCCAGGATTAAGAATTCCCCAAAATGATAATCAAGCAACGGAGCAGGAAAAGCCATTAAGTTCTAAATAGCTCACCTCTTTCTCCCGCTGACGCTGCTCGAATGGTGGCTCCACTTCCCTTTAACTTACTCCCTGAGCAAACTCAAATTTTTCTCTTCAAACACAATCTGCTTTCTCGAGCTTCTGAAGAACACCGTGAATTTCCCGCCAGCGTGTTCTGCAGTTATAGTCCCTTCCCGCACGGTAATGAATTTGCTTATAATGCTATCTCAGCTCCATTTCAAACCCCATTTTCAATGGCATGTATTAAGCAGTCCACTTCATCTTCATCATCTATTTCTTTCATGTGCTGAAATAGCAAACCTAGAGTTTGATATGCTCGCTCCATATGAGTCCCAACTGTATCACCCACAACAAAACTGTATACTTGATTCTTTACTTCAATGCAACTCTTCCCCGACACTTTCTTGCTCACGATCTCCTTCATCAATTTCCTCATCCTTGCAGACTCCCTCCATTCGCCTTCAGCTGCATAAATGTTCGACAGCATGACATAAGTACTGACAACATTTGGTTGTAAATCCAGCACCCTTAAGGCAGCCAACTTGGCCAGACCTGGAAGGCTATGGGTTTTACAAGCGCTAAGAAGTGCACCCCAAACAGATTCATCAGGCTTAAATGGCATACTCTGTATCAGTTCATAGGCCTCCTCAACTCTCCCGGCTCTGCCCAGCAAATCCACAACACACCCATAAATCTCTTGATTAGGCTTGATCTTGTAATGATCCATCACAGAGTTGAAGTAGTTCAGCCCCTGATCGACTAGTCCAGCATGACTACAAGAACTTAGAACTGCCATGAACACTATTTGATCAGGTTTTACATCTGCCTTCACCATCTCTTCAAATAATGCTACAGCCTCTTCCCCATATCCATGAGCACCATACCCTATCATCATAGATGTCCATGACACCAGATCCCTGACAGGCATTTCATTGAAAATTTTATGTGCCTCAGTTATGCTACCACACTTGGCGTACATGTCTATCAAGGAATTAACCAATGCCAAGTTACTGTTAAGTCCTCTGCGGATGATTCCTCCATGAACCTGCTGCCCACAACTGATGACTGCTAAGTTAGCACAGGCTGCTGTCACACTGGTGAATGTAAAGCAATTCGGAGTAAAACCTTCCGATTCCATTCGGGAGAATACCAAGAGGGACTGAGTAGAATCAAACTTCTCATATCCTGATATTAAAGTATTCCATGTAATCAAGTCCTTTTGCCTCATTTCAGTGAAACACTGGTTTGCCAAAGGCAAGCAAACAAACCTACAATACATATCTAGTATGGAGTTCATGACAGGAGTGTCAGATTCAAAACCATGTTTCATAGCTGCCGCGTGCATTTGCTGGCCATAGCTCTGTGAACCAGTTGAAGCACAAGCTCTAACAGCAATTGAAAAGCTGTGAGGGTTAAGTTCCACTCCCTCCTGCGAGTCATCAGATGCAACACAATGTAAGGCAGTTTTATACCAGCAACGAAACAATACTTACAAAATCAGGTTACTACTTAACAGTTGAGATACGACTCTATAACATTTGTTAATTATCCATCTATTGTCATGACATTAAGAGCTTGTTTCATCCATACTTACATGTATCATCTGCTTGAAAACTCGGAGTGCGCTGTGGCCCCTGCCACGGTGGGTGTAACCAGTAATCAATGTAGTCCATGAAACTGCATTCTTTTCCCTAATATGCTGAAACGCCATGCAAGCATCCCTCATGCTAGTACAACAAGTAGCATACATATCCATGAGTGCATTGTCCACGTAAATGAAGCCTTCCATCCCACGCTTAACGACCAAACTATGAACCGAGCGCCCACGAGAAACATCCTTCATACCTTTACAAACCTTCAAGACGCTCGAGAAAGTGAAAGCATTCGGCACGATTTCTTTCCTCAACATCTCGCAGAAGACTCCCCAAGCCCGCGTATTCTGGCTGCGGGCGGCGTAGCCAGTCACCATGGCCGTCCAGGCAACGACGTCTCTGTCGGGCATTTCGTCGAACAGGTCGCGCGCTTCGGTAGCCAGGCCTTGGTCGAAGAAGGACTTAATGAGGCTGGTGGCCAAAACGGAGGGACCCTTTGGCGCGGCGGAGAAAGGGCTTGAGTTGTTGGTTTGGGACCATTGGAGGAAGTCCTCGGCGAACGTCGGGAGAGGCTGCGATTGAAGAGCGGAAAGTTGCCTTCTTGTGTAGCGCATAAGAACCAGCGAACATGATGATGGTGTATGATGAAGTGTGGTAATTCGCTTTCGCTCGCTTTGGAGGAAATCTAGCAGTTCTGCGGCTTACTTATGTTGGCCGAGCTAATTTGCAGCATGCGCCGCACCATCAGTTTACCTCCAACAGGGACAAGAGAATCAAGAGGTCGACGGTGGAAGACTGGCGTCGGCGGAGTGTCGTCTGCCGAAACGAAAAAGTTAAACTGCTCACAGGTCAAAGTGTGAGTAGATACTCACTGACCCATGAGCTGAGAGGAGAGAGGGAGAGAAGGTCTGGCACTTTTTTGGGTGGGTTTTGGGCGGCCCGAAGTTTTGGGCGGAGAAAGTGGGCGGGTTTGGGCGAGCTGGGCGGGAGGTGGGTTTATTTTTGGGGCAATCGAAATTTTGGGCGGGAAAGTGGGAGAAGAGTGAAATAATTCGGGGTGGGCTTGCAGCCTAGTAAGGGCTGCCCGCCGAGGGCCCATGGGCCGAAGGCTCATAAAACAATTTTTTGGGCCGATATTGACATGACCTGATAGGATATGTTTTTGTAAAAGGACGAATATTGGTATGGCATTATGAGATACTAGTCTGGGTTTTACAGATATTTGTTGACATGTGTTGACATAATATCAATTCCTAATTCCCTTAAGTTTTTTTTACACTCGTTCAGTTATGCATTGTCATTAATAGTTGTCTTGTGCAGGGATGTTTGTAGGTTTTCGTCGTCGATGGTGTTCCTTATGGTTGAGAGATCAATTCGCAGTCGGGATGTTGACTACGCAAGTCAGCGAGTCGTGCAATGCACAAGTGCGACTTTTATTGAAAATGATTTGGACTTGTTTTTCATTCACTTTAGCAGGTACGCATAATATTTATTTGCCTTTCTTTGATATTAGTCTACTTAAATTTTGGATATTTGTCAGCGTTGTCCGGATATTTATATGCTATTGTTAAATATTACTTTGTTTAGTTGAGATATTAATATTGGTTTGAGTGGATATTAGTCTGGGCACTAAACTCTTTCTCGTGCTTTGTAAATGTAGTTTGTTGGCTGAAAAAAGACGCAAGGACACTGAGTCGGACTACAATGGGAAACAATCGGTTCCTTATATTATGATGGAGGATAGCCCGTTCCTACAACATGCGGCAAATGTCTTTACTCCTAACATCTTCAATCGGATACAAAATCAGTATTTGAAAACTGAACCCTATCTAAAGGTCTTTACTCCTTGTGCACGTACTTGCGCTGCGACTTCAGCATCTTCTTCTTCCTCATCCTCCTCTGGCTGTGGCGGCGGTGACGGCGGTGGATTTCGTCGATGTCTCTTCACGTTCGTTTTATCCCTGCACGTACAAATATCTAGATATATCAAACAATTATCCAAGCAATTCACAACAGATATCATGCTGGTTAAAAACCAATATCCAGATATATCAAACAATTATCCAGGGAAATTACAACTGATATCATGCTGACCAAAAACCAATATCCAGATATATCAAACAATTATCCAAGCAATTCACAACAGATATCATGCTGGTTAAAAACCAATATCCAGATATATCAAACAATTATCCAGGGAAATCACAACTGATATCATGCTGACCAAAAACCAATATCCAGATATATCAAACAATTATCCAAGCAATTCACAACAGATATCATGCTGGTTAAAAACCAATATCCAGATATATCAAACAATTATCCAGGGAAATCACAACTGATATCATGCTGACCAAAAACCAATATCCAGATATATCAAACAATTATCCAAGCAATTCACAACAGATATCATGCTGGTTAAAAACCAATATCCAGATATATCAAACAATTATCCAGGGAAATCACAACTGATATCATGCTGACGAAAAACCAATATCCAGATATATCAAACAATTATCCAAGCAATTCACAACAGATATCATGCTGGTTAAAAACCAATATCCAGATATATCAAACAATTATCCAGGGAAATCACAACTGATATCATGCTGACCAAAAACCAATATCCAGATATATCAAACAATTATCCAGGCAAATCACAACTGATATCATGCTGATCAAAAACCAATATCCAGATATATCAAACAATAATCCAGGCAAGTCAGAACTCATATCATGCTGAGTAAAAACCAATATCCAGATATATCAAAGAAACAATCCAAGCAAAATACAATGGATATCCATAATCAAAATAAATAATATCGGAACGCACACAAATCACATACAAATACCCAGATCCTATCAAACAACTATCCAAGAAAGTCATAACTGATATCATGCTCAAACAAAACCAATATCAAGATATATCAAACAATTATCCAGGCAAGTCAGAACTCATATCATGCTGAGTACAAACCAATATCCAGATATATCATCAAACCGGCTCAGCTTATCTTGAATTTTCTCTTTACCCAAAAATGCCACAGGCACCCTTCTATTCTTAGCCGAAAGCACATGCATTTCCTCTGCAAAAACCAGAACCCAGAAATCAGAATCAAGCTGTCCATTTAAATCAGCCGGCAAAGAAGAAGAACAAAATTCAATTTCCTTCGCGTACCTTCTTCTTCCTTAGTGGACTGGCCTTTATACCTGATGCACAGAGCTTCCAGGAAAGAAATGCCGGCGCTCAAATTCTGAGGACGAGCCAGCGACCCAGATCGGCCCGATCTCGCTTGGAAGTAGCGAACTCCATTCACCGTCCCGTCGTGCTTGCCATCACCATTGTCCCAGTCGACGCCAACCCAACTGCCGGAGTACCCTTCCACCGTTCCTACATACTTGACGCTGCCGATTCGACGGGGATCCCCGACCGAGTGGACTCGCTGGCCAACTTTGAAGGAGATGAAACTCGTTTTGGCCGCTTCGCTTGCCGCCGTTGCTGGTCCGTCGCCGCCGCTTCGCTGCTTTGTCGTCGCCGCTTCGCTTGCTTCTTCGTCGTTTTCGTGAGAGGAGGAAAGTGAGAGAGAGGGGAAAAGTGGGAGAGAGAGGAATTAGAAGTGGTTCTGGCGGAGAAACTGAATTGGGGAAAGAATAGGTTTGATTTTTGAATTTTGAATTTGTGGGCTTGGTCAGCCATGGGTTCGGCCAGCCGACCCAAATCGACTCTCACCTTCTTCAACCCAAACCGGTGCCATCTTACTCTCACCCACGTGGACAATGGATCCACCGTGTGAGTATCTACTCACACTTTATGCTGTGAGCAGCATAACTACATTGCTGCCGAAAGAGGAGGGACGGGTTCTTGTTTTGAATTGGAAGGGTGTGGAGTAGAGGAAGAAGGCTGGGCCGGGTAAGGAAGGCTGGGCCTCGGATAAGAAGTTGGGCCTAACAAGGGAAGAAGATGGGCTGGGGTTGGAGTTGGGCTTCAGTGGAGGCCAGAAATAAACAATTGCAATTTGCAAGGGGTTGGGTTTTTCTTTCCAGATGGGATTTCTCGAATGAAATGAGTCCAAGTATGGCAAATAGTATGGCGCCGTTATAAAAAGTGCGGCACCGATAACGCGGAATATGATTGGGTCACGTGGAGCTGATGTGGCATGAGTTGGCTTGATTGACCCAAGCCCATGACCCATAATTACTGAGTACAAAACCAGCCCGTCTATCCAACATTAACGAGGAATCGTTCTCCGTCCAAACAGTTTTGTGTATTAATTAATTATTAAATGAGTTTTTTTTCCGGGAAGATTCAGAAAACAGAAACGCTGACCCGAGGGAAGGAACCAAAATCCAAAATGCAGTTTTGCGTTTCACCTTCTCCGACGGTCTCTCCAAATCAATCCGGTGACTTGTTCGTGGTACCATGACGGCCCTGCTGGCGACGACGACAAAGAGTGAAGCAAAGATGAAGCCGGCGACGAGGAGGAGGGAGCTGTTTAAATTTGGGAAGTAGGCAGCGACAGTAGCAGCGACGATCACGATAGCAGCGGACACATCGAGTACGACGAGAGCAGAGCAACACAGTTGGCGTGGTTGTTGTGGTCCGAGAACTTGCTAGTGATTGTTTGTGTAGCAGTGACGGTGGAGTCATTGAAATGTCAATTGCTAGGTGGGGGATAATTGGGGACTTGAGAGAGAACTAGAGAGTTGAAGTGGAAGCGGAAGGGGAAGGAAGGTTCATGGGAGTGATTTTGGAGTCACTGTTGTTGTTGTTGTCACCAGAGTGATTTTGGAGATGGGATCGACCACGAACAAGTAACCGGATTGATTTGGAGAGACCGCCGGAGAAGGTGAAACGCATAACTACCTTTTGGATTTTGGTTCCTTCCGTCGACGACCTCGGATCTGCGTTTCTGTTTTCTGAATCTTCCAAAAAGAACTAATTTAATTTTTAATTAATTAAAATACAAAACAGTTTGGACGGAAACGGTTCTCCAAGGTTAGTTTCGTACTCAGTAATAATGAGTCATGGGCTTGGGTCAATCAAGCCAGCTCATGCTACATCAGCTCTACGTGACCCAATCATATTTCGCGTCACTGATACCGCACTTTTTATAGCGACACCGTAGTATGCTAAACACTTAATCAACATATCTTCCTTCCCTCCACAAAACTGAGCTTCATATTAGTGGTGCTCAAAAGTGGATAACAAATAAATACAAAAATGACAGAAGAACACCAAAGGGGAAAAGAGGGAAAAAAAAACCCATCAACTTCTATTAATGGGAAGACGGGGAACATGCTCCCATGCCTTGTCTTATACAGTAGTTAGCTTTCCAGTTTCTGCTGCTGCTACTCTACTAATAATATAGCAGAGGATTACAACTATGGAGCTCCAAAAATTTGATCCTCCATTTTCAATGGTCATGACACCCATTAGGTAAATTCCGTATGCTGTACAGTAGTGAATGGATGAATATGTGGATATAGCGGCCTGGCTACACAAGAATCTGAGACTTGGCAGCGACTCGGGAGCATTTCTTCCGACTGGACTTGCTCAGTGCACACACGCACATCTCCAAGAGCTCATAGTCTTCCTCCCAGAACAACAATGAAGCCTTCTCTGGATTTTCGAGCAGTACTTTGGATGTTAAGAACCCTGCAATTGTCCAAGTCTGGTAGAGTCGAGCTTGCTTCCCTATGAACTTCCCATTTCGGGTGTCATAATACTCGGCCCAACGGTCAGCAACAAGCTTTGATTCGGCCATGTTGACTGCCTTTCTTGCTAGCTCGATTCTGCCTGTCTTGATGCATGCCAAGGCGAACTACAAAAAGGGGTTTATTATATAAACATCAACACAAACTCGAGGATATTTTCGAAAGGAAATCGGGCTGAGCATTCAGTTTCACCTGCCACAGAAGGGTTGGCCATGAGCCACCATTGTGATATGACCAAGGCCTGCAAGTTTTCATGAAACAGACAGAAATCTCAGGATGGGTGGATGCCAAGTATAAAGTACAGACAAACGACAGTGAAACTGAAGAGAAACTCACGTGTTTTTTGGGTCACTTCCAGTGATTATACGCCACTCCTCATTTTCCAAAGCAGGGTAGCATATCTTGAGTGGCATGTGTCCCACAATATCGTTCCACTTCCCCTCAATCAGATTTAGTATAGCTTCATTCTGTTTCGGTGTGCTCAATGACGAGATCACAGACCAGAGGTTACCCAGAGTGAAGAACCTGAAGTCCATGTGAGCCGGCTGCAGATTCCCAATCAGATACCCACCTTCCTCAGGAATCCAATCCATGAGCCACATGGGGATTTGCTCAGGATAGATATTGAACTTGTTAGTAGCATCCAAGGAATACTCTTCTGTCTTATACCTGTATATCTCGTTCATCTTCTTCATGTCCACCCAGTAATATTCCCTAATGTGGAAGGATAGAGCACTAAGTCTATTGTTTATAGCCCTCACAAGGTTTTTGGAGCCATCGTTTACAGCAAGCATCTCACGACCACATCTCAGAGCTGAGTAAAACAAGGCCTAAGTGACGAAAAGTCAAACATCACGTGAGACATCGTGACATGACTTAATCTAAATATATTGTACAAACTTGATGATCTGAACCATTTATGAACTGACCTGGATCTCTAGAGGATGGCCATGAATGCCCATTCGCCGATCGATCATGCAAGAGCCATCGGTGACTAACAGAGAAGGAAACATATCGAACCCATCAGCCAAACACAAGTTTAAGACCAACTTAATGCCGGTTTGCACATCGACCCTTTCTTGCAATGTATAGTCACCAGTGATTTTCCCATATGCCCTCAGCATAATAATCCACCACAATCCTGCCAGAACAAGAGAATCAATGAACTCTCAGCTACAACAATGTTCAAAGAAACACAAGGATCACAACCCAAAATCCTCGATTCCAAGACCAACCATACTAACCAGAGTCCACAGGGGCAACTCGGCCAATGGCCGATTCACCGAAATCTGGATCCAAAACTTCTTCAGTATTGTCACCATCAAGAGTCACAGTACTGACCTTAAAGCTAGCAGGCATTAAACCTTGGCCTGGATTGTAGCAATCTACTGTTTTCTCCCAGCTCTGAATACACAACAAAAAATGGATTGAGAGTCACAGAAAGCTATCAACAAACGAACTGACAATGAACCATTCACATACATGAAGAAACAACATGACCAAATTTCAAAACCTGCAACTGCAAAGTATGGAGCAGGAAGTTTCTGACAATCTCTCCTTCGCCTCTGAGCAAGAAGGCAAGCGCAGAAGGCACGAAATCACGAATGAAAACCTGATCATAGTTCAACGGGGTCTTGTCCCCGGGATCATTCGCAGCAACGGTTCCAACGGGGCTCCCGCAATACCTCACAACGGCGTCGTTTAGCAATTTCCAGGCCTCCTTCTCGATATCGCTCTCTTCCTTCCTAGGGCTGACGATCTCGATCCCTTCCGGGTTCCTCAAATTCGAATCTCCTTCCTCGACGCTGACTACTTCTCTGATGTTCTCGTCCTTATCGATCCTCTCAACGACCAATGGCTTCGCGGAGGCGGCATTTCCATTCTGGACGTAAATCCTCTCGAAATTGCCCTCGTTCACCCGCGTCTCCACCGAAGTCGAATGCTGCTGCCGCACCACCACCGCCCTCGACGCGACGCCATAGGAACCCCTGTTCGCGAATGCTATCGGCGGCGGCGCGAACCCGGGGTGGAATATGGTGGACATGAGCCTGTAGGTTTTGAAACCTGCCGCCGGCAGCGGCGGACGAGGAGTGATGATTGTGGCGGGGGCAGGGCGGCCAGCGTTGGCGAGAGAGCTGTGGGTTCGATTCGATCTAAGGGGCTGTTTGGCGGAGCCCAGAAAGGATTTGGAGGTGCGTGAGATGAGGAATCGAGCAGAGGGTCTCATGGTGGAATGGCCTATGAAGCACAAGGCGTTCATGGCATCTGGGAACCGCCAAATGTTTTGGGAGGGAAACTCTTTCCCCTGGAACGGTAACCGGAGGATCTGATATGCGAGGAAGAAGATAGCTGATGAGAGGGGATTCGGGTCAGAAATGGGTTATTGCAACTTGTTCTCTCTTCTGCAAATTATGAAGAAGAGGGAAGATTGAGAAGGACGGGAGAGGAAAGGAGGTCAGAGGGGAAATGGAGAAAGGGAAACGGGAAGGAAAGGAAGAAAAGAAAATTTGAAGTTACATGTGTTCTTTTTAAATGGATTTTTTGGCCTATTTTCTTTTCTCTTAACTTTTCCCTCCTTGGGTTGGGGGATACTTCAATTTTCCAGTATCCTGAATTAGAACTCTTTAAATGATGATTAATCAATGATTATTATTATCATTATCATTATAAGAATTTAAATATTAATTAATGTGGAATTTTCTTTTCATGTCCTAATTGTGCACAATGTCTACTATAGAGAATCTATTTGAAAGGGAAACAACATCATGCTTGCCTCTTAATGCTCCACCTAAGACTTCTATATATTTTTTATTATTATTACTTCCAAATTATATTTTTCTAAGAAATGCAAATAAGCATTTAAACGACCAGGTTTAAAATTCAACATATAATAGCAAAATTGTGTAGAAATCTTTTGTAGAATGATGATAAAACCATAACGAGCGATTTGATGATTTTCATGATTTAACTCATACAATTAAATTATTGATACATTGTTTGGAAATCTAAATCACCACCTTCAATTATATAACATGTTTATTTTAAATCATATTTGTTAGTTCATAATTAGAATCCATATTAGAAAGAAAACAAGTTATTTTGATAAATGACGCAATTACGATGTGCACACTTTCTTCCACCTAAATCCTAAATCACTTGCAGCCTCAATAAGTATATCCCGACTTATTATCGAAGGTGATTTGAAGTGTTGGTCTGCCAGATTAACCAACAGTTGATTTTGGATTTGCATAGGATATTGTACTCCGAGAATGTCGATAGTTTCTTGAGTTTTGTCGTCTTTGTACGGACTTTTGGTCGGTACCACTGACAACCAACTAGTATGCCAATAAAATAATATGTGAATCCTAATTGTTGTCCCTTTTAGAATTAGTATTTTATATATTTTATATTGGATGGATTCACTAGAGTATGGTGTGAACAAATTTTGGGTATAAATATCTTTTTATGGATCATAATTCTTTTTAACTATTGTCTAGCCAGTTGTCACTAAAAAAATGTTTTGCTTCTAAGTTATGTGGCGGAAGTTGATCCATACCCACAAAAGCTTAGTAAAGGGCCCAACCCACCAAGTTGATTTGATCCTATAATTAATTGCCCAGTAGGTGCGCCGCCGACAAGTTGGTTTGTTGCGCTTGCTCATGGGATCATCCCGACTGTCCGGTACGCCGAAGAGTACACCGGAGCTCCTCAAACTTTTCTATCCACTTGCACTTGCTCCCAACAAATTGAGAAAAGGGCACACATTTTTATCCACGGATAACCAAATTTATGACAAAAAAGAAGAGACAAGGTTAGGATAGTGTTTTAGGTGAGATTCGCGTGATCAATGCACCCTGACTTCAAGAAAACAGAAAATGATGTTACTCGGTTTACACTTCTTCAAACACTGTTCGAATGAGGGTGTTCGATGCATACATCAAAGGATCTTGTTACTGTTACCTCTACTCCAATATAGATTCATTGAGAGCTCTGCAACTACTGACTACAACTAACAGAGAAGCCTCGTAGAGGGTCCCTGGTGCTACTGCTACGGTTACTGTTATAGAGAGAAAATATAAATTTTGATGAGACTGTTTGTGATTTGATTTGTCTCTCCCTCCGCCAGAGCCCTGTTCCAAGTTTTGTTGTGTCTCACCTCTAACCGCCTTCTCTCTCTCTTCCAGAAAATTAGCTCCATGTATCATCCACTAAGTCCTCTCCGAGCGTCCTTTGCACATCAGTTGCTGCTTCTGGTAACCACCTTCGACACGTCATCATGTCATTCGAGAATCAACCCTGGATACCACCGGATGGTCACCATACACAAAACGACTTGGATGGTATCCATGTTGACTAAAACAACAATCAATGGATGGTAACCAGACAAGATGGTCACTATACTGCCATATTACTGGTACCATCCATTTAGTATTTTGGAGGCCTCCCTTATTTGGATGACACCATCCAACATAGGATTTGGATGGTGTCCATGTTGTTGGACACTACCATCCATAATAGGATTTGGATGGTATCCATGATGTTGGACACTACCATCCATTATGGGATTTGGATAGTATCCATGATGTTGGACACTACCATCCATAAAATCTACGAGCCGACTTGATAAATTGGGCTATCCATGTACACATGGACCAACTACTTAAAGTGGCCAAGCTGTTCATACATGTGATAATTATTGAAAATTATTTTGGTGTAAACAAATGCCCCCCACAACTTAGTTCATAAGAATTATGTACTAAGTTGTTGACATCAACGGTATTAGATGCACAACCACTTGAAACAAATGTTGGCTTTATGTAGCCATGTCTCCAAACCATATAAGGAATTTAATTCATTCTTGGCCAAGTAAACGAAACATGCCATGGGGGAGTCCTTCTCCAACTCGGTAAAATATCAATTTTTATTACTCGGCCAAAAAAATGAGCAATTAGTTCAACTTGATCAACAACTCAATCAACCAATATACTGGCCGCCGCAGTCAAATGTGGCTTTTCTTCCACTAATTTAATATTCCTTTATGCTTGATAAGGGACCAAATTCCTTTCGTACATGGGATGCTTCTCCTAAAATCTTGTATCATTAGCAAAAGGAAACCCAAACTCAGAAGGACAATAACACTCCAATCCTCCTTATATAAACCTATGTTTCCATCAATAAAATTTCACCAACGAGACAAAACAAAATACTTGTTGCGCCATGCTTCCTAGTTGCAAGAACTTTGCTATTCTTCGGCCTCAAGTCACCAAGCCCAGGTACTTTTTCTCTTTGCTTCCGCAACCTTTATTGTGTCATTGGCCATTAAAACTTGAAATCCATGGTTTCTTCTCCATTAGCTAGGTATGCGGCTAGTTTACAATGATATTTGGCTTGGCTACCTCTGTAAATTGGCATTCACATATAGCTTTATATGCCCCCCTTCATGCATATAATTTTTTTTAAGTGCCAAATTCCAGTGTTATTATCCTCCATAAACTTTGTAGCTTTTATGTATGCCAAATCCAAACTTTGAATTGCCACTTTGCATCCATGTATGCACCACACACCAATAATATTATCTTCTATGAGACTTTTTTTTATATAGCTTTTTTCATGGTCAAGTATACTTACCATATAGCTAGCTATTCATTGTGTATGACCGCAACATCCTAGTTCTCCCTTTTTATAATTTGCGGCCACTTATCCATTTTTAATGACCATGATACCATGATCTCCCCTAATCTTCTTTAGACATCAACACCTGACTGCATGCTTGCTCACATACATGATTCCCCACATTTTTTATGGTCATTAACCAATGAATCTTTTTTGCCAACTTAACTGGCAATTCAGTCCCCTTAATCAGAACTGTTCCTCGTCATGCTACCGCTTGCTTTGCTCCCACACACATTATATGTGCCCAACTACCTTTGAACACCGTGACATTCATTCGGAGAAAACCATGACATTTGGCTTGCCCATCGAAACAAATCATCAACCATGCTTTGTGTTCTTGTAGGACAAAAAGATCTGAAACCTCTATGGTGTACTGGTGGTGCTCCCTTAATGAATAATCAGTGGGATTCACCTTTGACCCTCTGATGCTGAAGGAGAATGGAGAAGGATGGCTAGGTCCAGCCATCTTCTCACCCGATGCCAATCATGTGATTTCGTATAACACATACCCGATGTCCCAATCACCAGTCCTTTATCACATGAACCTGACAGAGAATCATAAGTCATTTTTTGGGGAGAGGCCAAACCAGAAAAAATCAGTTCATTCTTGGCCCTTATATGATCCTGACTTCAAAGAATGGTATATACACCTCAAAGGTGATGCAACTACAATCAATCAATGGCACCACGCTGGCATCACTCACTTCCTCTCCTTGTGCGTCAGTCCTTCCAATCCTGATCCAGAGCTATTCAAAGCCGTTATGTGTTTCTGGTTGACTGAGTCCAACTGCTTCATCTTTCAATTTGGGACCATGAATGTGATCTTACTAGACATAGCTGCTCTCACTGGCTGGCAATCTGGCATCACGCGCAACCGTCCTCCTGCCCAGTCTCCTTCTAGGTGTGATGCTCCGGATCCGCCGATAGCTTTCAGCAGGACCTACAAATCACTATACCAGATAAATTGTGTGCCTGGTAGACCCATTACTGATACCGAGCGAGTGGCATTCCTTCACCATATGCTCCAGCCAAGACCGGCCAAAAATAGGTGTTGTCACCACAAAATAGCACATAGGGAATATGAGAACCTTGCTGAGATGGTGCTTTGCCAGACTTTATCGCGGCATGCACACATTGGTGAATCAAATTAAAAAAGGTGAAGAAATATCATGCACCTGGCCTCTCTAGATAATACATCTTTGGTTGTATGCTTACTTCCCGGTGATGTGGAGCTCCTTGCCTCCTCCTCAAGATCTCTCAAATGACACCACCATCCTCACTTATGGGCACTACCTTGTAGAAGCAACATCGAAGAGGAAAAACTTCCAGTTCTACTTCACCACACTCTACGAAGCTAAAAAGGTCGAGACATTCACACCTTCGAGACTTACACCATTAGGCCATCATTGTTTACTCGTACATTCCCTAGTGCACCGCAAGGGAATGAAGCTTCTAAAGATGCCTATCTCTAACACGTAGAGAAGTGGTCTCGATGGATAGTTTCAAGGGATCTCTCTTTTAACTCCACCACAACATCAACTGCTAGTGTGGAGGTGTACAATCCACATTTTGCGGCTCGTCAATTTGGCCTAGTGCAGACATGGCCAATTCTGGTGTTGTTCTCCTACAACCATCCACACTTTCACTCAACGACGACCCCTAAACCTAAAGGAAATCATTGGGCTACGGAAAAGCCACAACCTATTGATCCCAAATGCTTTTAGGCACTTCAAAGTCACGCCAAACAAGGCTATGCCCCTCTTTTCAGATTTGTGTTCCAAAAAGATGAACCAGCTCGACATGTTCGCAAATGCATCGAGCGGAATTGTTCTACGTCTACTCCCTTCAGGTCACATGGTTGACGTGAACCAT